ACATGATATACAAATTTCATCAAGCGACTAAATTTAAGGAGATTGTACTATTGTTGTTAGCTCACTGTAACCAACAGAATAAGATAGTTGCCTCCAGATGCTTAGCAGGGATATCCAAAGTAAACGCAAGAAAGTGTGGAGTTCCTGGGTAATGTGTATTTACGATATGCTCTGCTCTATCACTAAGCATTAACTGTGTATGAGAAAGATATAATGATATAATTTGTCGATTTATTATTTTATTGTTTTCAAGTTTTTACCAGAATCTCGAATGCGTGGAACCATGCTTTAATGACTTATAAACAAAATAAGTTTCTGATATCTGCATGTTTTGACTTTGGTTTATGACAATAGTATTAATCATACTCACTGCAAGATAATCGTCACTTTTTGGTACTACTCCCATGTTATCACGGAAATCATATCCTGCTGAAGGAGCTAGAAAGACAAACCATTCAAAGATGAGTGAATGGAAACCCGAATAAAATCTCCGTCTCAGTCGACCCGGTCACAACAAATTGTTATCATAACTATGGCATAAAATCTCCACTGTCATATACACAGACACATATATGAATAAGTATATTGTTTTACTAATAGTTAACTTACATAGTACTCCATTCATTTTATCGTAGTCACCGACTCCCAATGTCCATATACCATAGTGTGAGTCAAAACCACGATTTGTTGGTAGATACTCATCTTTACAGAACCCTAAATGCCATCTAAAATCAAATTTAGAAAACATTTAAAAATTAAAACTATAAAATAGAAATACTTATTACCAGTACATATCACATAAATTATTCTACATCTAAGATTGCTTACTACACATAATGATAAATATGTTAAACAATGTTCATTACACATTGCCAATTGTAGACCGTTCAGTTTCTCGATTAACAAAACAACCAATATCACGATGATTATTTAGATCAAGAATAATAAAACGACAACCTGTCCAGATGTTGGTAAATTGGCGAAACCGGCTGACATTTCTTTTCTAGGGCAAAGTCTGGGCAATAATTAAAAAAAAAACATTTCTTCAACTAACCAATAAACCAAATAACTCTTAATTTTTATCACTTTACAATAATTACAAAGAATGTTCACGATAGACACCAACGACACCATTGTGTGAAATTATATTCTTACTGTCTTCACAAGAATCTGTCAAAACCCTACCCCACCCGTATAAATGTTCATTTGGTCTTTATTTCCGTTGTGAGATTCCAAGAACTGTACCTTTTGGTCAAAAGTTAGCTAACATTGTCACAATTTTCGGAAAAGAAATGTGTAATAGAAACAGAGTAATGTATTTTCTAATTTAAATTGTATTTTTGTTAGTATCATATCATCGCATGTCGCATGTTTCCTGCACGTGAACCCGTTTTTCAAAATAGCAACATAGTTTTTTTTTCTGAGTCACGGTACCAGTACTTAATACTTTAACACATGAATTTCCCACACACCTGTCATACACATCTTATTATTTACCACACGCGACACCTAGATACACCAAGATACAACTGAGCACGCATAGAAATACAATTAATAGTATATTATACCCGTAATGAAACATTCTGATGTTACAATAGGCTTTGTTTTTATAAACAAGTTGTATGTATTTACCAGTGAAAAGTGTTAAACACTGCTTATTACGGACTTGGGATTGATACCGAAATTGATATAGTTTCTTAAACTTACACTCGTTCCCGTAAATATTTTATCAAATTAAGAGAGATTTGTACATGTCAATGTCATACAAATGTTTGTTAATTGTGTCGTTTAGTATTGACGTTCCCCAATAAGACAATTTCACAATAATTTTCGAACAAACAGTAGTGCCGAAAATGTATCTTTTCTATTTTCAAAGTACAGAACAAGGTTTTCACTGCTCTCTAATTTCAAATATACGATAAATATTACCACTGGTTTCACACTGTCCTTAAAAATTGCGAATTAGGTGGGAGGTGGTCTCTAGAATTGTCTCTGAGAATCTTCTTAAAATTATTACTAAGATATAATCCTGTAGCGTTTTCTCTTTGTACGTAAAATAAACCTTCTCAACAAAACCTTATATTTATAACATGGTATTTGCAAACAAGAAGAAAAGTTTAGTTTAGAAGAAAAATACTGCGCAAGCGTCATGACCGCTAATTCGAAATGCCCCGTTCAATGTATGAAACGTTAGGGAAGTTTTGTATAAAAGTACACGCCCGTTATAATATAGAATGGTCAACAGGGTATGCTTACTGACACCTTCAAGTGTATATTGTGTTTGGCCCTTTTTTATTTTTGTGTCTGAAGGTACCAGCAATTTGCTAAGTGACCGGATCAACACATTTTGACTTCTTTGTACTTCTTGTTTATTTTTGTACACCGATATGTGGGATATTAATAGCCCACTACACCGATAAGTATATATATTAGACATGTAGTAAGCAATTGATAACAGTCGTCAATCGAAGCAGTCATGATGAGTAGTCTACATTGCATAGCTGTTTTCCTGGCACTGGCATTTGTCAGCAAGGTAAGTAACAACCGGCAATGTCTTGTCTGTTTTAATTTGTCGTGACTATTTTTAATTG